GTTATAAGAAATCTTCATCCATCCAGCTTAATCTAATGGGTCGGGGTGTGCGAAAGACGTACCTGGGTAACGTAAACTCATACGGCAAAAAAGCCTATAAGCCGATTCTTGACTTCTGACTTCAAACAACCATGGCCCCACTGTATGTCAGATTCCATCACTTTCACAGTACTCGTCTTACCTTGTCTCTGCCTTCGCGTCTGTCTGTCTGTCTCTTACATCTGTGAATCATTATTCTATGCCCCCCCCCTCTCGATTATTTGTCACACTTTGATGTTCCTCCTCCTCTCTGTGAAGCCCGAAGTCAGATAAAAGAGCTAATGATAACTAACAAAACGCCTGCCATTTGAAATGATTAAATAATCTAATGGGTTTGAACAAATCATAATAGTTTTCGATTATCTCAGATGACAACATAGCCGTAAATGGTAAACAGTGAGATTAGATCAGAACGAACCTTTGAGAGTAACCCCATTAACCGTTACCCCACCAGCGGTAGAATTGCGAATGAGCTGTTTCACATCCGTAAGGGATTGAGAAGTTAAGGGAATACCGAAGCACCGTTCCTGAAAGGCTTCCAACTCCTTGTCCGATAAATAGCCGTCATTGTCAACATCACAGATGCGAAATATTCGCGATAGAGCGCAAACACACTCAGGTGTTAGCTAAAAAAGGAGAAGAAGTACAAAACGCTTAAGTACAAGTACAAAATATTATAAAAACGTGCACAAAGACGTGCCTATTAGAAATGTCTATCAATCTGCACACAGAGAACCTCAACAGTTAAGTATCAAATCTTGGGTACTGAAGTGGGAGTGAAACCATCTCATAGACAGCACAAATTTGCTGGAATTGAGGGAAAAATGTAAACAAACACATAAGCAGTGATGGATGAGTCATTAACCAAAGCGAAAATGGAATGCATTCAACAATATGCACAAGGGTCGAATGATATTTTGATTTAGCAAATAATAGGTAAATGAGACTGGAGGTGTGATGTAAATAACATGAAGTTTCAATCAAAAAAAATTACAAATTTGGTAAATTTTAAGGAAAGATTCACAATTTAAATACTTCCTGGAGAAGTTACCGACATTTGGGCCCTAACTTTTAACTCTCCACACAGAACGTAAGTAGCAGTAATTGGATTAGGAGAAAAAGCATTCATACTTTAAAAAGCGACTTCACGTTTAATTGTTTTCAAGAAAAGGAGCAAATACTACTGAAATTTCACAAGTACGACATTTAAATGACAATTTTCCCTCACAAATAATCAACTAGACATTAAATACGAGCATTAATTTTAACTAAAAGCGACCTTACTAACTGCGTAATATTGAACCTTTGATGACGAACGGAAAAATAATTATGTTGCTTGAGAATAGATGGAATAAAACGCAGGATCCGATGCAGAGACTAAGAGAAACAGAACCGAAAAATTCCCGACAAACAAGTGCCGGTTAGTATTCAATCGTGAAAAAATTCATTTTGATCGAAATTAGTAGGCTTAGAAGAGGAATGGAAATTGGAGTTGTAGATTGTAAAGAATAAAGATAAGAATCAAGAATGAGAAAAGTGTGCGTGTTCTAACATTTTTAGCGGTCCGGAACCACTCCTCGCGACTAATATTAATCAATAGATGCAGTAAAAGTAGAACCAATGAACTTGCATAAGGCTCTAATAAATAAGTCATTAAATCAGTAATTATAAAATGATTGATTCAAAACAGCGGAAAGAGTTTTGATCTTAGACTATCTCATTTAGCAAATTTTCAATTTACTCTTTGCAAGAATGCTGCCTGCGTTCTACCCTTGCATATTTATCATTGGCAGCCTCATTTTAAGCTTGCAGTGAAAAGTTGGAACAACCATCCAGGATGTATTTTTTCATCCATCACCAGTCTCTCCAAGAGAATAAGCCATCACTCCATAATATTTTCAATCCAGCCTCACAGTGCTTATATCATGATAAAAAAAGATACTAATAGTGGGATTGAAATTTTTAGATTTAGTGTTAATAACAAAACAAAATTACTTTAGATGACTAGATGTAAAATTTGCTGAAAATATATACAAGCCAAAATAACGCAACTTACTTCCTTAATTTCAGCGTTATACAGAGGTGAAGTTGGATATAGCACTGCCTTCTGAGCAAACCAGAAGGTTTCACCGAGATTGCGAAGAGATTTTGCCGAACATTCGATGCAAGTTTCAATCTCTGGAAAATTTTCCATGAGCGGGAGTACGACCTATAAATTGGGCAAAAAATAAACCGTGAAATATTTTAATTATTATAAAAAAACGGAAAAATAGAATTAAAACACGTTTACCTCCATTTTGCTTGTTGATACCAGATCAAGTTTGTTGCCGACAAGAACAACTGGAACTCTTTGTTCATTTTCAGTATAACAAGATCGAATCAAAGGTAACCACTTAGAAGTGATCTAAGAGAAGAAAAGACAAATTCGTTAGAGTACCATAAAATATACTTTAACTGAGGACACAATTCACTCACATGGTGAAGAAAATTATCATCATCAAGGGCATATACAAGACATACGACAGAGGCTAGTCGAATTTCATGAATAAGTTGGTCATGAGATTGAATACGAGCCGAAAAATCAACTATCTCGGTTGGAACTTGCTCGGGAGTCACAGAAGCAGGTATAGTAATCTCATTAGAGAGAGCCGGAACCTGCAGAAAATAAACGAATTCATTATATATTTTCACGTTGCTGTTAAATAAAAAGATAGTTTACTTAAATTGTCCAGAAAGAAATAATGTATAGTTACGAACCTCGGGGGAAAATTCCTCACTCACGAGAGATAACACAAGAGTGGTCTTTCCGACAAGAGCTAAAGATTAGGACAAATAATGACCTACGTTCTCCAACAAGTAGAATTCTAACAACACCGCCCGATCTGGACATCATTAAATAAAGTAAAGCAGAAACGTTGCTCAAGGTGAGAAATAAATTCACCCCTCTTAATGTAACTCAAGGTTAAATGCAATTAGCTTGCCTTAAGTAATGGCACTAGTTAGTATTTACAGCCTAAACAAACTACAATATTTTTTAATTTTAATTTTAAAATATAACGTTTATAAAATCTGTATTTGTGTTAAAGGATACATTTTACACGCTACTAACGGTCAAGTTTCTAATATTAATGATGAAAGTATTCAATGCATGTGAAAGAAGCACTAAACTCTATTCCCTACAATTTCATACATTTTTTATTTTAAGTAGCTGTTACTGCTTCCATATGACGAGAAACTTCATAGAAATGATACAATTATGCATCACCTCTTTATATTGTTAAGCAATTAACTACGCAGTTGATAGAGATTATGCCTCAAAATGGTTTGGGTTAAATAACGTATTTGAGGTTAATTTAAGCGTTACTAGCCACATTCTTTTTTGCGGAAGCATTATTTCTGATTAGTAACAAGAAAACTAATTAAGCTGTATCGAAGTAACAACTGAGGTCTATGGCCATAAAAATAAGGTAGCGAAACTTGATAAAGCGTGGTATAAAATTAAATCTAAAGTTTCTGGCAGAATTTATTTCTGCTTTGTATTTGCTAATCATTTGATTTGCAGAATTTTGCAATGTTTATATCAATTATGGTTATCATGAAATTTAAGACAATTTGAAATTAAAAAAATAAAATTATTGTTAAAATTGATCAGAGGTTATTCGTCGACTGAACAATTAATTTCATCGAATTTTCAAAGTAAAATATCAAACCATTTCACCGTCATTCTTTCCCAGACAAAAAAAGTACTATAGTTGTACGCTTTCATATCTGAAATCTCTTACTGGGCAAAATACAGCTGCTTTTTTCATTTAAAAGATGGTAGTGAATTGATTAATATAAAGCCAGTGAAAATTTGAAAAATTCACTTTTCTATTTACTCTTCAATGGTCGGCATGATTTGCAACTCTAGTTCAGATTTGTTACTCCTTGACTTTCCTTCGCTTATGAACATAAATGGAAAAATATTTCTCGATATTGCCTATCCTCTTATGTTCCTCGGAATCATAACCTCTTCCCTTACACTTCTTATGCTTGCAAAAGACAAGGAGACCTTGCTATCCACTCGGTTTCTTCTATCCTGTCTGGCTGTCTCTGACATGGGTTACCTCGCCTTCAATATCCTTATTGGAATCCTCACCCCGTTAACATCGATAAAAATTCACTATTTTCTCCTCATTTTAAATAGCCGACGTTTGTGTGAATTCATGCGCAATTGGGTAGCGGCTATCTTATCATTTGAACGTTTTCTATTCTTCTATGATCCTTTAAACTTTGAGTCACTATGGCGAATTGATGGAGTTCGAACTGTAGTAACCATCCTGACATTTCTCGGTCTATTCTGCGAAATTCCCAATACAGTTTACATAGTTGCACTGGCGCTGCTTCAGGACTGTGAAATCTTGCGCCAAATATGCAGTTTTCAGTCCATAATGAATCTTTTAACAGTAACGATTCTGCCTCTAGTGTGTATGGCCATATTCTCCTTCCTAACCACAAAAGTCATCAACAAATTAATATATCGAATGTTTTCTGCAACGCAACTTATTTCACCTTCAAGAACAACTGTTAGGGGTTCGAAGAATGCCATGAAAATTATCAGAAATTCGTTGATTGTCTTTACTGTCACTTCAATTCCAGCTATTCCGACTTATTGCATCACATTTCATCTGGCTTATCTGCACAAAACGGATATTAGAGCCATCTCCTTCCTAACAATCCTCCATGGTCTTGCAAGTTTGTTCTCTATCATCAATTCGACTTGCAATTTTTTCGTCTTTATTCTTCAAAGCAGTCGGTATAGACGCATTCTCATGGTGACTTTTCGCTTACGTTGCTTCAAACCGAGTTTCAAATCATCTTAGTCAGAAAATTGCCTCTTCTTCTTCAATTTTTTCCCATTTTTTCATTGTCCCTATTGATAAAATTCACTCAAATTTTCTGCCACTGTCATCTTACTATCTATTTTACTAATAAAATCATCCCATAATAATTTGATAACATTGATAGTTGAAACAGTATTTAAATAACATATTTATTTATTTCAAATGCCAGGCTTTATGATATTTATCATTAGCTCTTTAGCTGACTTCGGGCTTCATAGAGGAGTGATTCACAAATTTAAAAGAGACAGACAGACACAAAGGCAGAGAAAAGGTAAGATGAGTACTGTGAAAGGGTCGAATATGACTTGCAGTAGGCCATGGTAGTTTGAAGCTAGAAGTCAACTGCCGATTAATAGATTTTCTGCCATATGAGTATATATGTATATCGAATCAGTTCTTCTGTGTTGAAAACGCTATTAATCGCATCATAATCGCAACCACACAGTTAACTTAAGCAGTGTTTAGACTCAAAATATTGCTCTTTGGAAGTAAAGGATCAAATCGAAAAATGTGAAATCCAGAACATTAGTGGAGCATTGGTTAACTTAATGGTTCGAGAATTTCACCAGAGTAAGATCACCCATTATCCACTGATTCTTTCACACTTTACTTTTTTCACATGGGGTGTGCGATAGACTCACTTCCACGTGGTGAACC